GTCGTTACGATCCTCACTGGACATCAATCAAAGCCGTAAAAAACCTCTCCTCCGACGGTAAAATCCATCTCCGTCACCTAAAACTAATTCGCCACCTCGGAACTGGAAATCTCGGCCGTGTTTTCCTTTGTCACCTCCGTGATTTCCCAAACTCCAACGGATTTGCTCTGAAAGTAATCGATCGGAATTCTCTCTCTCCGAAGAAGATTTCGAATGTTGAAATCGAATCTGAGATTCTCTCTTTGTTAGATCATCCGTTTTTACCCAATCTATACGCACGAATCGATGCTTCTCACTATACTTGTCTCTTAATCGATTATTGCCCAAACGGAGATTTACATTCTCTCCTCCGGAAACAACCGAATCATCGATTTGATATATCTCCGGCGAGATTCTTCGCCGCGGAAGTACTCGTTGCTTTGGAGTATCTCCACGCGATCGGAATCGTTTATCGAGATCTGAAACCGGAGAATATCTTAATCCGTGAAGATGGACATATCATGCTTTCAGATTTCGATCTCTGTTTCAAATCCGACGTCGTTCCATCTTTCAGATCTCGACGAGGTTCGTCTTCTTCTCCAAGGAGGTTAAGGAATCGCCGGCGTGGTGGTGGTTGTTTCTCGACGGAGGTCGAGAGAGAGGAGATGGTGGCGGAGTTTGCGGCGGAGCCAGTGACGGCGTTTTCGAGATCGTGTGTAGGGACACACGAGTATTTAGCGCCGGAGATAGTTGACGGTAACGGACATGGAAACGGAGTAGATTGGTGGGCGTTTGGGATATTTTTATACGAGATGGTATACGGAACGACGCCGTTTAAAGGATTAACGAAAGAAGAAACACTGCGCAAGATAGTGGCGAGTGATGACGTGGCGTTTTTAGAAGAACGAGAAGAAGAAGGTTTAGGAGAAGCTAATGATTTGATTAAGAAGCTTTTAGTGAAAGATCCTAGGAAAAGGCTAGGATGCGCCAAGGGTGCGCAAGATATCAAAAGGCATGAGTTTTTTGAAGGGATAAAATGGCCGTTAATTAGAAACTATAAACCGCCGGAGATTAGTAGAGGTGGTCAGGTGGTGGTGGTTGGGAAGAAGAAGACGAAGTCACGTGATGGTCATGTGAGTTGTTTAACGTCGCCACGTAGGAGGAAATGGTTGTGGTGGGCTCTAGGGAATTTACTGAGGAGTAAAAGTTTGAGGAGAAGGAGTGACAGTAAAATTCAGAGTAATAGTAATTACTATCGTTATTATGTGGGTAAAAAGCTATAACGCGAATCGCAAACGCGTTTATGGCGTTTTTATACAAATTCTAGAGGTAGAAGAAATGGGGGATTGGGTATACAAATGATGATTACCGCAAGTTAGCAGTGTGATCATTCTGGATTTATTACACATTTTTTTATTTGTTCGTTCGTTGTTTTGTGAAACTCATACAAGAAAATTATAAATGGATTATTTTTTTTCTTTCAAATAATTTGATGTTGTTTTAATTATCTTATCAAAAGAAAAGTAAAGCTGTTAGAC